GTCCTATACAGTTTAATATTAAGTGTGCTGAAAAGAGCATGTAATATGTAATACCTTTGAATCTTAAGCATGGCATACCTTCACACTGCCCACAACATTGCCCTGGGATATTTCTATACACCATTCCATCAGGACAGGAAGTGACGAAACAGTCAATGGTGTAACAGTCAAAACCAGAAGGGTCATATGACATCCCTTCTCCCTGGCAAATACAAGTAGTGCAGTCGTCTTTCTTCATCTGCTCTCCGACATTGTATGTATGATTCTTGTAAACACAGCGACTCGAGTTGATTGGCTTCATACATTCATTGAAACCGCAGCTTTGGTGAAAACAGCATTTGTTGACGCCTGCGCAGTCGTTATCAGTGCTGCATCCTTGACCACAAGTGTTACTGGGCATGCTGATTGGACAGTCGCCCTCTTTTATAACTGCAACACCAATAATTTATTGCTACAAAGGCGTATTGCGAATATCAATCATAATATCAAGAAAGCACACGAAATCTTAAATTTTCACCTATCTCGCAGAATTTGCCAGCGTATCCGGCTTTACAGCGACATCTAGTCTCACACGCGTCTGCAACGCAGAGTCCGCCATTCAGGCATGGCTTTTCACAGATGGCTAAAATTCGATTGAACTTTTTTTAAAAACCTTAGTAATATATGCATTTTTCAATGAAATTAAATATTTTTTTGAAATAACAATTGAAGCAAAAGCTACACCAAGTCAAATTTATTGAAATCATTTTTTATTAAGTCCATTTTATCTTACGTGTATTTAGGATACTTTCAGAACTTTCAATATTCACTTACGTGTTTGACATTGATCGCCACCAAAATTTTCGGGACAAACACAAATTGGCTTTCCATCTCTAGCTGCACAATGGCCATTGTTTTGACAGTCTGGTTTGCAAACAGCTGCAAAGAATATACATCATTAAATAAGTGATATAAACTCAAAAAATATTCTAAAAAAATCAATATACCATACATTCTTCGGTTATTGATTAAAATTGAAAATATTTCTTATGATAATATTATTCTTAATATCTTGTATTTTTTGTTACCGTTGAAATTGTCTGAAGGTTTAACTTTTAACCCAAAATTCAATAAAAAGTATTTGCAAGTGGTGTACTTTATTAATTTATTGTTTAATTTTTTCGTTTACTTTGAATTAAGAAATAGGTCGTCATAAAAAAGTGCTAGATAGCTAATTGTCAAAGAAATGTCTTTCTCTATAATCCTTTTGTACATGTAAATATAGCATCCCATGAGATGGAAAAGATTTTTGAGTTTGTCCGCCTAAGAATACAATTATTGGGAAATTATATGTAATGTGAATAAAATACTTACGCGTCTCGCAGTGAGTTCCTATGAACCCATCAAGACAAACACACGAGTTATCAATAAGGGATCCACCATTATCACAATATAAAGGACCAGTACCACTCTCCGCTATTTAAAGAAATAAAAATATGCCATCTAACTCATTCTGCACGAATACCAAGATCGATACATGTAAGATACTAAGTTTATGTCATCTTGGGTTCTCAATTATTCAAACCGATAATGTAAATCGTATGTCTGAAATTGCCTTGAGGAGACTTGAAGTTTACTGATTAAAATATGTGTGACAAGTTAATCGATTTATGAACATATAAATTTACATGTAAGATAATAAATTATATTTATTACAGCAATGAAAAAATACTGCACAAAACTTCCCTATGTTAGTTGAAATGTAACAAAATGCAAAATCAAAAAGTCAATAAATAAGAATAATTAATGATTTATCAATTAAAATGAATTAATTAAAATGTAGTCTTACCGACAGAACAGAAGCCGTATTCATCTTCATTCCACCCTGGACAACAACTCCAGCTGTTGTATCTAACAGTGACATTGTAAGCAACCCAGAGAGGGCAAAGGTTATACCAGGACCTAAAAGAGAATAGTGCTGAGATTACAGACTTTAAATGTATAGAAAAGTTCTAGTACATGCACTAATGATTTGTACTCTAGCGATTTTGAAGTTCATTTATTTCGATTTTGTAACCGTCAAATGCTTTCCTTTCAGATTACAGATGCATTAACGGTGTCAATTTTAGATTAAGATTTTAAACACACACGATAATTTAAAGTTCTTTACACGAAATATAGAGCATCGACCTAGTTAAAACAGATCAATATTAAAGATCTTATTAAATAACCTACTAGAACTACCTAAGCTAATGTTCCTCTATATACTTAAGGGAAATATTGTTGTGAATATGAATAAAATAAGATTGTATAAGTTGTCAATATTTAGTTTATCTATTACGTATTCAGATAGGGTAAGATACCAGCCATTTACTTCCAAAAGTGTGGGAAGACAGTTATTTTCATGTTTAATTTGGTAAAATACTATTGAACGAATAAGTTTAAGTTTAATTATATTGTCTAAGCTAAATAAAATGCAAGGATCCAGATTTTTTGCCAGTCTAGGGGTGAGGGCAGATACCAACATCTTCAAGGTCTATGGTAAATAAATACGAGTATATGATTTAAGAAGAAAGGAATTATATAAACACGTCAGTCTCTTTATATTTATAGTCTTATTTCATCTCACAGGATATCTCTCGTTTATAATAACCAATTTCATTTTCCTGATATGTGTAAATTGCTTTTTCATCCAAAATTTAAAAACATTTGCATTGACAAACTAGTAGCCTATATGTTGATAGAGCATTAACTTTTTGTTCAAGAAAACAACATTCCCGAAGACCTGCGCCTCCGGTCACTTCCATCCGTTCCACACCAATTCCATTCTTCTTCGGATGGATGCTCGTCGCCATAGTCCTCTTGGAGAGCATCGATTTCGTCACAGGGCCACCAAAACAAGTCCCAGTGAGTCACATTCTTGGTTTTGACGTCACAACACCAATGGTCGCCGTTAGAATCCTCATCTGTTCTGGGACAGTTACGACGACGACGTCTAGAAGTAAATATTATTAATAATTTAATCAGAAACCGTATATAAATGACATTCAACTATTATAGTATTGCTATTTTTTAATTCACTTATTTTTTATTTCTTGTTCAGAAATAGAAGCTTCATATACCAGCGTATGGAACTTTTTGCTTTAAAACAAGAAGGATATAGGTAATCTTGACCGATCGAGTGACGTCTGAAATTTTTGTCTTACCTTGAAATTTTTTTTTGATGATGAACTTATAATTACACACTAAAAAATCTTTGAACGGGTAAAAATAAGTATGAATAGTGTTACTTTTTAGTATTAATGCTTTTTTGGGTACAGAATGTATTTTGACAAAATTTATTAATTCGTAATTCCTGTTTATAATTTCAATACCGATTTTAAACATACATAAAGTATTTTTTTTCTTATGATCCATATACAGTATAAACAGCAACAATATGAAACTTTGTTGAGCACAGAATTACCTCTATTTTGTGTTATACAATTTATAAAAAAAGAGGCTAGCTGCTGTATTATCAATACGCACATTTGTATTCATTTCGTATACACGAAATGTTTTGCTATTGTAAACTGGTTCTTAATTCTATTTTAGTCCCTTTCAAAAACATTCAGGTAAGAATAACATTTTAAAGGCGTTTGACAGTGTTACCCTGTATTTTCTTAAATAGATTTTGACATTTAGAACATATCAGATTTACCCTTGCCAAATGAAAAAAAAGTTTCCCTATCCTTTTTTTTAAAAAACTTCTTGTGTTTATTTCAACTTTTTAATATTCAAGCTTGACTAAACATGGACTTCAATTCAATGCAATGGATACAAAAATTCTTTGATTGTGAATTCCAATCAAGGAAGCATATTAAACAAAGCGATTCTGGCATGCTCAGCATTTAAACATTTATATCTATGGTACAAAAAGAATACATTTTTCCACGTGACGGACAACGTATACATATGAATATATAGACCAGCTGGATGTCTTATATTACTCCTTCTCTGTAATTATCGATGACAAAGGGGTTTTCCGCCATTCAGAAAAACCACATGTTAACGATAATTTGTAAAAAGCATTTAAGTACGGATGACAAATTCTTGAAGTGAAGGGTACATTTACAGCTTAATCATGTCTATTTTTCTCATCTCTGTGATAATATTGTGAATAAACTGCACTGTAGAGTTTTTGTTTTACAGAGTACATGTACCCGAGAGAGAGAGAGAGAGAGAGAGAGAGAGAGAGAGAGATAACTACAGTGTATATACACTATCGTCGAGTGTCTGTTTAGATATACAAATTTAAGGCCTGTAAAAAGTACAGAATAGATTAACCGAGATAGGTATGTATTCAAATACAACCAGTATACAAATAAATTGCGATATACAACTCAGAGTAGATAAATCTTCAGATTCAACATTTTTTTTAAAATAACCTGCTGTAATTTGATTACTTGACAACAACAAAGACACATAAAGCATTGGCAGTAAAAGCAAAAGAACATGTATCTCCAAAGAAATTTAAAAGCTATTTTGATATCGACGAGCAAAAATTATGTTGTACTTTAAACTCAGTTTAACATACTGAAAGTACATATAATGCTAATACGTATGTGAAAATAGGCATTAACTCCGATATGAATTTTAAAATCGGTCTACAGTATCTTGAATCCAATACTTTACAGCTGGCAATTGGCTGCTTCAAATTTCTTTTCGTGGTTACAAAATCAATTTTAGTAATTTTAGTTTTCTGATATTCGCAGTTGTTAAGATACGAAAGCCTCTCTTGAATCTTAGCATATATACGGAACGGTTTATTTTCTGCCATGGACGATGTTGCAAAGAATATACTTGTAAAAATCATATGATATGTTTAGCATGACCAGCGGATGGCATATCAAGATAAAATTCAAAATTATAAGAAATGATAATTTCTGCTTAGAACTGAATGATTTAGTAGTTAAATTCAAAAGTTTATTACAGCTAGCCTCCTACAATGTTATAGCTTCATGTATTACATGTAATTATTATCTAAGTAAGAACGGTTTGTAAAAATTCTTTCTTTCTTGCGATCTGAATATTTTTCAACAATATGTACTTACCTTTTCACCCTTTAGTGTCATCGTTTAAATTTCTTGAATAATTTAGTGAATGTTTTATGCTTATTTTCACTAGAATACGTACATGGTACGAAGAATGATGCTGTATCCATTCAAATTTCCAATCCAAAGAGACAAATCTCGGTTAATTATTACTGTATCAACCTTTAGATTTGTCAAAATTTCAGAATCAAATTAAATCAACATAAAGTTATGAAACTAGAATTCAATTTTCAAAATAAAATACTCTACATACTGTGGTTTCTTCAATATTCGTTGAGCGTCAATTTTCGAGCAGATCCACGAATTCAAATGTTAACGAAAATTGATGCCAACAAAAATTGATAAAACCACAGTAGTTTAGAAAGAAAATATATATATATCGACTAAATTGCACGATTTTATTTTATGTCAAAAATCGAACTCTTATTAAACCAGATCACTTTATATTTCAAGTAAAATCTCAAAGTATAAAATATAAAATAAATGATTATTTTTTAGTGAGAGCCCACAGATTTGAGAACAAAGTTTGTGAAGATGCAGTTGTACATGTGACTTTGCCCAAGTTTTATTCCATCTACCTTTTTATATGTAAAAGGGGATTGTTTTGAAAAATTAAGCAAAAAAAAAAAAAAAAAAAAAAAAAAAAAAAAAAAAAACAGCAAAAAAAAAAAAAAAAACCAACAACAAGTAAACAGGAAATTTCTATGAAAAGGTAAGAATGAGGGTTATGTCTTCAGAAAGAAGAGATAGATAGTAAGAAAACATGTCTATTTAAAGATTTTGTAGTTAATCAGATTGGACTTATCAGAAATATACTCTTATTATTGTTTTGTATTTCGTCAATAAATGAAAGAAATTTAATTAAAAAAAATAAGAAAATCTACGTAAAGCCTGAACATTGTATCAATAATGAATGTATGCCACATGTCCATGGCTTTGCAAATTTATCTTTTTGAAGCTTATGCCCAATACTACATAAATAAAACAAATAAATAATTTTTTACGTTTGGGGGAACATTTTTTTCTAAAAAAAAAAAAAGGAAAAACGTGTACCCTTAAGTGCGTTTAACTCGAGCAAATAAATGATGATAATATCTAGCATTTCTAGATCTGGATACATGTACAAAATATGTCACGTTAAAACACCTAAAAATGATCAACAATTTTTATCGAAAGCTGATTTCATGTACACAATGGTACAAAGATGATTCATGATTTGATCACATGGCTCAAAGCACTTTCATATTCATAATATGAAACTGAAATTTATTAGTTGGTTTTACTTAAACTTCTATTAATATTTGAACCTCATCTTTTTTCCTTTATCACAAATTGTCCAATAGACAAAACAGATGTCAGAAATATTTTTCATTCTATATCATTTTACTTGTTGTGTAAAGAAAATAACCTAAAAAACATGACAACCATATTAGGACTTAAAACATTTATTGTTCAGGGTCAAGAATTTAGATATAAACAATCCATTTAAATGGCTCAGATCTTTACCTTCTTCGTCCACTTTCCGCGAGAACCAGAAATGCTGCCAAGACGAAAATCACAAAAATAAGTTTCCTGTTCATTTTGGCCCTCCTTCCGCTCTGCTGTTTTTATATATATTTTTCTTCCTGAGAGCGGTCAACACAGTTCCAGCCTTCTCATCTTAGAACATATATCCGGAATAAACAGGGTAATCCCTCTAGTATGATATTGAAGCTTAGTGTTCTGCTTCAAAGATTCTGGTCAATTGGAGCTAAGAAACCCGCCAATCAGTAGTTTAAAAGGAAAGCTATGAACTGAAACAAAATTTAGTAAGTACATCAGCACTCGAATCAAACAGTCATTTAAAGTTCTCTTAATTCCTTGCGATTGTGGGTTTTACTTTATGCAACTTCTTGTATATATAGAGTGTTTACATTTTATTCTTGTGCAGAAAAACGTGATAAAATCCAATCTGACCTACCTTCTTCAACATTGCCTTCCGCAGTAAATGTAATATTGATTTTTTTGTAATATTCATATCTGGTAGGATCAGACTTGTTATGATTTATGGATTGGATCTCATTAATATGTAATGTTTGTATTATAAAAAAAATCACGTTATATAAAAGAAAGGCATAATCAGATTCCTTTTCCATTGATTTTTAAATAAAAATGTCTTAATTGATAAAAAAAAGTAGAACCCCCTGGATTTTTCTTCATTGTAAGTATTATCCACTATTATTCAAATTATTCAAGACAAAGGTATTCAGTATATAAATAGATTAATACATATACAGTCGTCTCCAGTTCATGTACGTTAATTCGAATCGATCAACAAAAAGAATGACCAAAATTTAACGTTTCAAACGACATCAGGTATATAAATAATGTTTCTCATATTAAACAGTTACTTGAAGCGTAGAGAAACATTTAATGAGTAGCAAAAAGTGCATGATAAATTCTTCAAAACATGTGCACTGCACATCTATTTATTTGAAAAAATATATTTATAAATATTTAAAAAATATAAAAAATTGAAAATTATATTTTCCATATTGCATTGTAATGAATGGTTTAGAATCTTGATCGGTAGAATTATTGTCTACGTGTGAAGCTTACCGATGTACTAGTATATGCTTAGTTTGTTTTGTATAGGGCAAAAACATGAGTCTCACAATCCTGAATGAATGCTTTATACTTTTTGAATTCTCTTTGAAATTTACTTCTTGCTTTGAAGCAAATATTTTATAACTTTAAAACATGTAGTATCTTTTAAGTTGACCTCTTTATGCCTTGGTATATGGTAGAGGTGGACTTAATCCTACAATTAAGTGCGATTTCAGAGGACTGTAGGGTAACGTGTTTAATACTTACGTTTTGTAGGTCAATGAACTTCTTAATAAACATATTTAAGAGCGAAACAAAAATTAAAAATCATCATCTTCAATTATCCATTTATGTCATTTAATAAAATGATGTAAAATGTTGTTAGAATTAGTTATTAACAACAGTTTAAATCCCATTTGTAATATCTCAAATTAAAATATAACAAAATTGCTGTGCCATGCTTTCATTTCTATTTATAGTGGAAAGAATTCACATATATATGTCCAAGACGGAGACCTTGAGAGGTGTGGGGTTTCTTGTAAAGGTTCATTAAATACCCTTTCACAATTGTCTATTATGTCTATGTTCAGAAGGTAAACAACATCAGAAAAATTGACAGACGTAGGTATTTATCTGATAGTGAATTGAGCTTTTTTATTTAATTGTAAAAGAATATAGTCACCATGAGACGAGGAAGTTAGCGCTAGTAAGGCAGGCCCTACAGGCAAATCTCAAAGATGGTTCTTTTTTAAAAATAGGAAACTAATGTACTTTCATCGCATTCCTATTTGACCTGACCTTCACATCGAAGGAGATAACAATCGTTGAAAAAAGTTTAAAAATAAACGTACACAAAATGTTCTTATGACATTTACTTCAATATATTGTTGTATTTGATAGTTGACCAAATGGAAGAAAAATATTTTTTTTGGATGAATTGAAGTTAATTAAAAAGGTGATAGTGATTTTTGTAAATTATCTACCGACAACAATTGCTTTGCGATTGCAATGGATCCCACATTGTTTAAAACAGCTTTTTTGGTGATAAAGAATTTTATGGTGTGGTGGAAAGTTAAGAAAAAAGGAAAAGATATAATGACTGACATTTTGCACACCTGCATGGCATTTTTAGAACACAAACATGAAAGGAGATTCGTATGTTGTAATAGTATACTTTCATGTACATTACTTTAATCTAATAAATACAACATGTAATTTAAAGTTACATTAAAAATTTTCACCCCTCGGAAAGCATTGTCAACCTCGGTGCCTCTGTAAGCAATGGGTTTCTTGGGATTACATTTTCAACGTACCCTAAACTATATGCAGCATTTACGTGATGACATTATGATAATGCATATGGGAAGTATTAAAGGGGGCTAACTGACCACTGGTAATTATTGTTCATTGAAAACTCATTCACATATTATAGTAAATTATAAAATAGACCAAACACATATTAATCAAGCTGCACGAAAAAACTGGTATAATTTTATATGCCTCTACATATGTTTTTAGACAGATATTTTCTAAATATCTATCAAATATATATATATCATTGATATCTAATTCACAAAAAAGATATGCCAAAAATGAAGCTAAAAATGTAAGGTGTGCAATGTAAAACTCATATTGTTATACAAATTATAAGCAGAATTAATGAGATTCAGGTATCTGAGCATGCGCACTAATGTCAGAGGTGCAGTATTTTACGTTTTGAAAAAGAAAAAAAAATGTAATCACTATTCATGATTTCTGATTTTTATATTTGAAGTTGAACCATACAAAGAACATTTCTACCAATAGAATTATCAATACCAGGGTCTGTCTGTGTTTCAGATCTAAATTTCTATAACAAAAAGACTTCCTTTTGTGCTAAGAAGTATTTATTAATCAAGGACAGATGATACAAACAAATTTTTCCTTTGGAGTAGATTGAATATCATGTCACAAGTTTAGAAAAGTGAATAATTCTTAGATTTTTTTCTCCTAAGAACTGGAAAATGAAATAGACTTGGAAAATATTAGTAATATTTCAATAAAGTTACAAATATGGACAAACCACACTCAGTAAAGGTTTACAGATGAAAACAAATTTTAGAATATGTTACACTGGTGCTAAAAGTGTAATTTAAACTTTAGAAAAGTATACCAAGCCAGGTGAATTTTATCAGGAAAAGCAAAATGTAAAAATCAGCCTATATGATATTGCTGATTTCTTGTCATTTTGCTTTTCCTCATAAAATTTACCTGGATTGGTATATTTTTCTAAAGTTTATATTACACTTTTAGCAACAAAATAACATATTCTGAAATTTGTTTTCACCTGTAAACCTTTACTGAGGGTGATTTATCTATATTTGCTTTTTTATTGAAATATTACTAATATTTTCCAAGTCTATTTCATTTTTCACTTCTTAGGAGAAAAAATTTCAAGAATGATACTCTATTCTAAAGTTTTGACATGATATTAAGTCTCTTCCGAAGAGAAAAATTGTATCATCTGTCCTTAAAATGATCTATTTAAATATGTAAGCACAAATTTATATTCTGTTTTTGAATTTGAAAAGTTTTCTGTTTTTCAATTTCAACAAGTCAAGTGTGTATTTTTCTATTCTTTGATTTTTATGAATATAAAACTTTTTAGAATAAACACACTGAAATTTTTTTTATCAAGTTTAAGTAAATCCACTGATCCACTTCACGTAAACAATAGAACAAAATATGATACAATTTTCGCCTCATGAATCTACTTTAAAACTTTCTTCTCTTGGTCAGGGATACAAAAAAAAAAAAAATTAGAATTATTGCTGCATGTACATGTAATCAAATATGAATAGATATAAAGAAATGATGACATTACGAAAATATAACCCTAAGATGTATTACAAATGTCAGGCCAAGGGTACATGTATTTTAAAATTATTATCTTAAGTTTTCAAAGTTGATGTTATAAAGGAGACTTAAAATTTATCAATAACTATTACCTAATAAAAACTATATGAGTCTACTGTAGGTTACAAATATTTTGATATGAGATTATGTAATGAAATAGAATAATCTTGGTGGATTAAAATGTCTCTAAAATCGTCCAATCGAATCATTTTATATTTAACCAATCAACGTTTATATTACAGCTAATCAGAGTTCCCCAAATATTTACCAATCAGCAGTGATTAGCATAGAAGAAAAGGTTTAAATAGAGACACCCATATAGATATCGGTTATTTAGTCGTTGCTCATTGTCTGACTAACAAATCATGGTCTAGGATCTTGGGTTGTGTCGGGAAACAACAGAATTGTTCGTTAGATTACTCAGCTCATGAATCTAGTTCCTCGGTGACCAGTGTCTTGGTGACTTTAAATTGTGTCATAGTGACTTTAGATTGTGTCTTGGTGACTTTAGTTTGAATAATAAAGGTGTCTCGGTGCCTTGTTAGGGTGTGTTTTAGGTAATGCAAACTGTGTCGGGAGACAACAGAATCGTTCGTTATACCACTCAGTCTGCAGCTACAGAGATAGGTTTCATATTTGATTATTGGTTTGATTATAAGTGATTGTTTTGTTATAGTTCGTTTTTACTTAGTTTGCTAATCATTATCCAGATAAAATCAAGTTAAAATGAATAGAGTTTCAGTCACTTGTTCTTTAAGTGTCATTGCTATTGAAGGTTATTTTGATTCGATATAAGCGTGGTTCGTAAGAAGGAAACTTTAGGGTATCCAACTATTAATCATTTGTACTTTGTAAAAGCGTTACAATTATGAAGAAAACAAGTATATCGAAACACGATGAAAACAAATAAATGTATAATGGTCAATCACCACTCAACAATGGCTGTCGTTATGTTTAGTTTTCAGTCCCCGTAATAAGCCGCAATAAGAGACAATAATTATTTACATACTCCGTAATTACTTGATAATTTGTGCAGTGTCCATAAATTGCTGGTTTCCGAGTGTGATTTAACATGCATTACATGTATTTGTAGTCAAAACATGTACACGATAACTCCAATTCAGATTAATTACATTTCATTGATTTCGAATCAGTTCTTCTTTCAAAATAATCAAAACGTGAGTTTAATTTGTGCGAGTTTAAAAAGTTCACGAACCTACACGCATTTCTTCTCCGTTGTTAAAATTAAAAATTATTTTCAAATTTTGGGAATAACTTCTTCGTGCATAGCTCTTTTATGTTCAGTCTTTTGCGCTTCGTTTTCCAACGTTTTGCCATGAGCATCACGGAAGAGAAATTTAAATTGTTGAAATGCGGATCTCTGTGGCATCCAAATCGGTAATGTATTTGATTAATATCTAATCATTTATATACCCGTTACATGTACCTCTGAAGCATAAAAAGTAATTTTTCTTTCAATTATGTAATATAAAAACGTTTTATAGACTTTTCAAAGTCCTTTATGATGAATTATTATTTTTTCAAACTGCACTACGCTCATTATTTTTTTGATATCTCCATAAATATGATTAGTCTGCGATGACTTTTGTATTGCTGGGTTCTATACTTATATGCAAAATAACATTATTATCAATGATTTCAATATCTTATCGATTAGCTATGAAGGATATTGAGATATCGAACAGTATTCAATATCAAAGTCCATAAAACAATACAAAAATAAGGAAAAATCCGTCGTCAATTCAGTGTATAAATAATGGGCCAGAATAAAGTATGAAAAACGTCAGTCAGCATTTGACTCAATGATAAATTGTATTTGCTGAAAAGGTCATTATATTAATTTATATAAATTTTTGAAACGTATTTACAAGGCAGCAAACTGACACACTTTTATAAGACATACCTTTTCTGTCTGACTGACTTGAGCGTTCACTTTTAGTCTGACATCGGTGTATTCTAACGACTGAAAATGTTGAAAAAGATTATTTAAAATCACCGTGTTTATACTTCCATTATTTTAAAAAAAACATAACAGATGTGAACAGTCCTACGAGTAAGGAACTTGAATCCAAAAATAAAACATCAGAGATATAATTATACACTATACAGCCAGGAAATATTGTTAAAAATTCTGCATTTCAAAACAGGACGTATTCCTGTAATTTCCTCAAACCGCATACACATGTAGTGCATTCAATGTAAACCAAACGAACAATGTCATATAGTTATTCATAGATAATATTATGCCATCGTTATAGCTGTCAACATTCAAAAAATAATTAATCCACCTGTATTTAAAGTTTCTTATGGATTGAATGTATTTGACCTAACAAAATGTGACTATTTTCAAAAGTTGGTTTGAATGTATTTTATCTTCAAATTAATTTACTATAATTATTATTAGTAATTTTTATTAAGGTAATACCAATTATGAAGAAATTAGTTTACAAATAAACATATCATTATTTACTCATTTAGGTAATATTTTCATGATCTCTTTCATTCAGTTTTTGGTTAATTTATAATTTATCAAACGGTACTGTGAAGGTAACAACCTAGACAGCCTCAAATCCTGTTTCAAAGGTATATTTCAAGGTATTTCCATTCATTGAAAATAGCATTTACTTCTTACTTTCTGAGTTTTATTTAAAAATATTTTGAATTTAAACCCTTTGTCATGAACATAATCTATCCAGATATATTTGACGGAACTGCATCATTATATGTAATTGTCTTTTCCTCCTTTGTTCTCCAACATGCAACAATTGCTCCCATGATAAATGTCACATTTGAAGACATCTTTTACATGTATGTTCACTGTTGTTTTGATTCAAATTTACTTATGTACAAGTATGTGTTCTATTATTAATATTTTTCTGTTTTCAAAAACCCATCAATTAACAGAATCTGTCGACGTAAATGTAGCTAATTTTGAATTGATATAGTTATAGGGGATTTTTCTGTTAGTTGCAATTATAATATATTCTCACATATTACAATGTGCGTGATAAATTTGAATCTACACTACGCTTCCATATAATAACGTATTCTAGCTCTTTTATAAAATTCCATTAATCATCATTTTTGTAGTTTTCAATGAGAACTGCTAGCGCTAATACTTATCTTCACAAATTGATTTCTTTTCAAATATTTAGTGTATTGTTTGTAAATTGCTGACCTGCTTCGCAATTCAATTTTTGCAGTTTTTGGTTTGTAATAAATCATCATAATTTTTTTTTTTTTTTAATACAAATCATTTGAATTTATTGTTAAATTCTTTACATCAAAGTTGGATAACTTGTGACGTTAAATAAAAAAAAAGGTAAATACAGAAATCCACGACCTTTCCGAACAACACCCGTACAGAAATGACATTAATTTTATGATCATGGAAATTAGTAAATGGGGCCCTGACCTCACACGTGTTTTCTTTGTTTACCAAAAATCAGAACATTTAAAACGATTGGTCAGTAGTAAGAGGTATAGATGGTTTTGTGTTATATATACAAAATACATATAACAGTGTTGTTTTCATCGAAAAAAAATATTTAATCGTATTGTGATAACTTTACCATGTAACGTAGTTAACTAAACTGGCCTGCTGTTATAAAACTTACCTTAATTTACTGTTTGGCTGATGTCAGCTTTCTCTCATGTCTGTCAAACACAGGTGTATATTCCTTTTTAGTTTGTGAGCTTGTTCAAACTACAATGATTGTAAATACTTAAATGTTACCCTGTTTAACTCCCATTTTCAAGAAAAAATAAATCCGTGTAAGCCAGAATCCCGTTCCACATGGAAAAGTCATAACACTGAATAGCAAATTGTCTTGTCAATTAATCGCAGAATAAAATTTAACATCGCGCATATAATTATGCAATCAGGAAATCCTGTTACGATAGTATAAATTTATCTTAGGACATTTTATAATAAACACATTATATGCATTTAGTGTAAACCAAACGAACAATGTATTAATTATTCATAGTTGTTACTTTTCTTTTTATACTCTAATTTATTTAACTAGTATTAAGACATTTTGAATGCCGACTAGTTTATTGAAGGTTTTAAAGTTTTTACTGATAAAAAGCCACTTATAAAATATACAAAATTTGCGTTACAAAGGTTTCAACATATAAACTTGTAAAGGGTCCATGTGACTCTTGATAATTCAAATTTCTAAAATTATTTAGAGCTTTAGAATTTTTAAACAATAAGTCAAATTTTTAAATTTATATTCCTTAGTTCTTCCAAACGAGTTTGATTTTTGTTGAAAGCATGTAAAATAAATAACATCATGTGAATTATGTCATTTATTAAAGTATACGACGAAAGAAATAAAACACAGTTAACAAAATTTTTTTAAGAAAAGAGGGATTCAAATTTAGAGTATTACACATCTTAGGCTAACAAATTGCACAATCTGACCACTAGTACCATAATGACATTGTAACATGATGAGCATATGGGAAAAAATGGGGGTCAACCAGACAAGAATAGGAAATTTAAACCCTGTAATCACAAGGTATAGTATACATCTATTTCAAGCTGACCCCACTATTAAAGTCATAAAACAGCCACAATCAGCTCAAAACTGATATTGCATACTGAATTTTAATATAAATAATAAACCTAAGCTTTCACATTTCCAAACATGGTTTAGACTTCTGGATTTTTTAGATATTGACTTTAAATATTCAAAATTTAAATTTCAAAAAACAAAAACCTTTTTTATTCTATTGTTTGTTCAGAAAATGTACACCTTAAAATATAAAGTTCACAACCATTTTACGTCTTTTGATATTTGAAAATTAAATTTACTTCAGACATTTAAACTTCAACTTTTAAAACGTTTAGGGTTTCTAGAAATTTAGAACTTTGATTCAGACATTCAAACTTCAAGTTACTATGCATGTTTGGAATTTTACTTTAAATATCCAAATTATCAAATTTCCAAATCCGATTTAAATTTTGAAACTTTCTCTGAATGAATACCATATTCTAAATACATATATCCAGGAATTCTACGGTTAACATGAAAAAAGTTTTAATAATCAAACCAGGTATGGAATTTGAAATTATTATATTTGAAGCAAAATTCTAAAAAAACAATAAAATGTAAAATATGATTTCACTTTTTAAGAATTTTAGGGTTTGAATCAAAGTTCCAATGGCTAAAAATCTCAAACGTTATCTAAGTTGAAATTAAGAAGTTTGAAATAAATTTTAAAACATAAAAAAACCCAAATATGGTATTGCACTTTAGACTGATAAGAGTTCTTTTCCAAACAAAGAACGATAAAAAAACTCTACATACAAAATAATAAAATCGATGTCTGATTATTTAAGGTAAAAATTAATAAAAAAAAATTAAATCTTTAAAACCTGTTTGGAATTTTGATACCTTTGGTTTTGATCAAAATGTAAAATTTCAATGTGTAAAATCATTTCGAATGCGGAATAATATAATTATGGTTGACTTTGAACTAATCAATAAATTAATTTTATATCTACATGCAACTACTTTCGTGATAAATGTCACATTTGGACAGCTATTAAATTGGATGCGAGTCTTTTCCCAACATTTACTTTGATTCAAACTTCTGAATAATTCAAATACACATACTTATTCAATTTTTTACTGATCACAAATAACTCTATTAACTTTTTGAGAATGGATTTGTTTTTAGAAATTTACCCACCCTCCGTCCCCCTTCATACTCCATGATAAAACATTGTAGTCTCAAAATTATGTTTTGTAATTTTTTTATCATAATATATACCTTGTGCCATCTTACTTGCCATCGTTGCAACTTTTGTCATGTCAGCTTTTTGTTCTGACAACTTTGTGGTTTATAGACTTTTTATTTGTCAAAATATTTTTGCCAAGGCAGCTTTTTGTTTTGACAACTTTGTGGTTTATATACTTTTTATTTGTCAAAATATTTTTGCCAAAGTAATGTTTGTTTGCAACAGGGGAGATACCGTTGCCAAATTTATTGTTCTTTGTACTCAGGAAATATCCCGGTGATCTCCCCTTAACTTTATCTGTGTTATATACTTATTGTCATTTAATAAATGACAATTCTCACTCAGTATACATTGTTTGTTATATTTCAACTATTGCGGTAGTCTAGCCAGATCACTAGGGTTACATAAATTAACTTTTTGAGAATGGCTTTATTATCAGATCAAATTCTTTGAAAATGTTTCACAGAATACATATATAAGCTTTTGAAAAAAAAACCATGCATCCTAAACAGTAAATAATATATCAATTTTAAATCAACAGTTTTATTTATTAATACAGTCACCCGCTAGGCACAGTGGTTGGAGCGTCTGTTGTAGAGTAGCAAAGTTAATAAGGAATAAATCCTTACGTCGCGGACTTGAATCCCACTGTGAGACGTGGAGACCGGTCCTACGGATGAAACCGTATAAACCGAGGTCCCATGTAGTAGGTGCTGGCAACCCCCCTGCTCAATGGCCCTGAGTGACGAGTAAAGGATATTTGCAGCTCTCCACCGGCAAGTAGTGGCGTCTCCATATGAGTGAAAAAATTCTCGAGTGGGGTTAAACAATATACAATCAATCAATCTATTAATTAAACTTATTACCATCAAACACTAAATAACCTTTCTTTGCAAACTGAGATAATCAAATAATTTAAGAAAGAAGTCCGTGTTCTTGTGAATGTTGCAGAATAGCCTCCGAGGTCGAGAAATGTTAGAAAGATAAAAGCTAAGGCATCATTCACGACAGCAACGACTTTTTTTCTATTCTACTAAGCAGCTCTAACATACGACTGATCGTTTCTCTATAGAGAAACGAATTAGGTCACCATGCTGCAATAACGCTGTTCCATTTAACACCAAAGTGTAATTGTTTGTTTACTTGTGAATAGACGATTTGTGCTTTCGCGGCATTAAAATTAGCCTTTTATTAAATATAAATCTGTTTGTAGATACTGTAATATAGATTAATTTTTTGGACTATACAATAACAAAATCATTTTCCTATTT